ATTCTTATAAAAAACCAAGAACTGTAGTTTAAAGTGAAGGATAAATGGAAACTTGAAAAGCTTCTTTCTTTACACTTTAAATTCTTTGCTTAGGAAACATGTGATGAAGAGGAAGATGAGGAGGATAAAGGAAAACTTAAACCCAACTCTGGCAATGGAGCTGACCTTCCAAATTATAGATGGACACAGACTCTGTCAGAACTGGATGTAAGTGTTGCCTTATTGCCCAGATCTGAGGAATTTGAGCGAGGGAGTAGGAGCAGGTGCTGGTGAGAATGGTGGAGCTGATGCCCTGTATCTCCGTTCCCTGTAGAAAATTGTTAGTTGTACGTGATGGCAGCATTTCAGTAGCTGGGAGAGAGCTTAGTAACGAAAGAAAATTCCCAGAAGCTGTAGTTAACTTTGCCAAACCTTGGTCTTGTTTATCTCCTTCCCTTTTTCTGGTCCATTTGAGGTATTGGCCATCCTGTTACCAAACTTACTCTTGCTTCCTTTCACCTCCCGCTCACTCAGTACCCCAAGGAAAATATTGCGTGCTTTGTCTTATTCTGGTGAAACCAAGGCAAAAAGTCGTAGAATAGCAGCATGAGAGGGTGAGAGAGACTTCACTGCTCAGCTCCTCAAACCTGACCTTTTTCTGGTCCAGCTGGCCATCCCGTTCAAGGTGAACTTCAGGTTGAAGGGGAAGGACGTGGTGGTGGATATCCAGAGACGGCGCCTCAAAGTTGGCCTGAAGGGCCATCCTCCTGTCGTTGATGGAGAGCTTTTCAATGAAGTGAAGGTGGAGGAGAGCTCCTGGCTGATTGAAGATGGTAAAACAGTCGCTGTGCACCTGGAGAAGGTAAAGCAGAGTGAATCGGGGAAGATTCAGGCTTGTCTGCCTCTTCCCTAGTGAAACTAGAGTCTGATAAAGCCTGTGAAAGCCCTGGGCTTTGTCAGCTGAAACAGAAGAACTGTGGTTATCCCTGGGACAGGGTCAGGGGTGCTGTTGAAGGCAGAATGTTGCTGTTTGCCCCTGTTTTCAGGATAACTTCATGCTAATCAATGATAGCCACTCGATTGCTCAGCAGTTCGAGAAAAGATGGAAGGAAATCAGCTTTCCTTAATGGAATAATGCCATGGCTTGACATCTGTTAGTGACAGACATGAAAATCTGGGGACAGACCTTATTGCTGCTGGTGTCCCTCCTGGGCCTCTCCAAGTGATTTGTTCGTAATCCTGTTCATGTCATGCCAACCGTGACATCTGACATGCTCTCAGATTTCCCAGGTGTGGAAGTTCAGGCTACCTAAAATGCTTAGGAATGAAAGTAACACCCTTTATCCATGTTCAGATTTTACTGACATTTAGAAAACTGTCCAAGCTTGATTCCAGCATCTTCTTCCTGTGACTGAGACATAAAATTCCTAGAACAAGCCCAGGAAAAGTAAAATATTTTTTTCTTCTTAATCCCTCCAGATCAACAAGATGCAGTGGTGGAACAAACTCGTCACCACAGACCCGGAAATCAACACCAAGAAAATTAATCCAGAGAACTCAAAGGTAGGAACTCCCCTGGTTTTACTGAATGGAGCCTTCTAGTAACCGTGCTCACCCTTGACTCACATTCAGTTTCTTTGTTCTACCAGCGTAAAACCAATACTGGGAGTACTGCTGCGTATGACGCTATCACGGAACATAAAACTTGATGTTTGAGCGAAGCTGAGTCTCTAAATTAGTGTCTGTATAAGTATTTCTGCAGCCCATGTGCACAGCATAGCGTAAATTTGGGGTGTATTACAGGTTATACCAGCTTATTCCAATTTTGACTTTTCTTGTAGTTGTCAGACCTGGACAGCGAGACTCGCAGCATGGTGGAGAAAATGATGTACGATCAACGCCAGAAATCTATGGGCCTCCCCACATCTGATGAACAGAAGAAGCAAGACATTTTGAAAAAGTGCGTAGACCTCATTCATTTGGGGGTATTTGCTTTCCCATGCCCCTCTCCTCTTTGACACAAATACGTGAGCAGAAAACAGGATGGCCTTCAATCTCACAGATGCCGTTACACTGTCATTGAATTCTTGGCCAACCACCCGTGTCTATAAAAGCCCAGGGAGGGGGTAGAAAGCATAAGGGGAAATCCTGGGAATAGCCCAGCTCTGGAATTGCCTTAATCTGCTGATTTCAAGTCCAGAAAGCATGTTTGGGTCTGGACGTGCCATCTCTACTGACCTTTAACATGAGCTTGATTGTTTTCTAATCTCCCTCTGCTCAGTAGCCCAGATAACCGCCCCCCGTGCACACCTGCCCCCAGACAGCCGTCTCCAGGCCGAGAACGCTTTTATGTCTTTATTGCCCTGTTTGGCACAAACGCACCTTGGCAGGGAAATTAACTCCCGGAGCTCCCAAGGCCGTTTGAGAAGGCGTGGAGGCAATTCTGGGTCACGGAGCTTCTTCAGCAAATGCAAACCCACATCTTATCTTGGGATTGGAAGGAGGATACATGTAGCAGGCCTGACTCCTTCTCTTCCTTGGCTTATCTGTAGCAGCAGGAGCTTCGCTCTGATCAATGCGCCGAGAACGGCGCAGGGTGCAGCTGTCTTAGAGCAGAGACCAGACTTCTTCGTGCCTTGTCCGTTAAGTTAGCAGAATGGGAGGTAGCCCTCTCCTTCTGGGACGTCCACGTCCAGGACACCTTGTTGGCAAGGTCACTCATTCAGTGCTCGGGAAATTTGGCTCATGCGCAGATTGGCTGGTAAAGGAGGGACAGGAAGTTTAGACTTTGTTCAGGCCAAAGCAGACTCGGTGACACCCAGGTGGGTCCTAATCTCTGCCTGTGAAGCCCTCCTGACTGCTCAACACGGCCACGATTCTCGCAGGACGGATTTCCACAGAAATGGAAATGCTGCGGTGGTGTTTCAGGGGAAACCACGGGGGTGAGGATGACAGAGGCCTGCCCTCACTTGCACTTTGTGTGTGAATCCTCCGCGTGGTTACGTGTGTTGTGTCCCTCGGTGAATGGCAGGGCAGAGGAGGAAGCTGGGATTGCTCCTGATGGCTCATGTTTTGTTCTCAGAACTTTCTGATGTGGCAACCTGAGTCCAACTAGTCCTGTCTGCTGGGGCTGCAGCACATCTGAAATCAGGTTGCACCTAGCTTGAGCCCAGATTTCTCTGCTCATGAGTTTCCACTGTCGCAGCGCTGGAGATATTCCCCACGTCTCCAGTAACACTTGCGCTAACAAGTTGGAACTTAAATTGTAATCTGCCCTCACGCTCTCCCTTCTGCCCCACAATTGCTGTCAGAGCTGCTACGTGTCCGTCCGAGAGCTAACGGTTCAAGGGTGTGTGTTTGGTAATTAATAACACCCATGTGGCTGGGCTGCCTGACCTTGGTGGCTGGTAGAATTGCTGATCCCACTGACCCGAGGAAAAAGCGTTTGTAGCGTGGGGAGTGTGTCCTGAGGAGCTCGGCAGAGCAGTCCCTTCTGGGGAGGGCGTGGGGAGGAACCAAACTTTCTAGTGCAGGAAGTAGTGATGCCTTATCCCCAAACAGCTGTTCTGATTCATACCTGAGCTCTTGGCTTTGTTTTTCTTGCAGGTTCATGGAACAGCATCCAGAAATGGACTTTTCAAAGGCTAAATTCAACTGAGCCCTCCCCTTCTCCCCCTCTTTCGGCCAGCCCGTCGAACGGGGCAGATATTGCCAGATATCCCTTATCTTGGGCAGGTGAACACCTCCAGCATCCCCTGAGCTTGCCGTGGTGGCAGCTCCATGAAGCTGTCCTCAGTTGTCCTTGAGCAGAACGAGAGCAAGGCCACAGAGTCAGCCCGCAGCAGCTCCAGTCGGAACCATCTGCGATGCTTCCCAGACGGCAGTTAGGAGAGAAGGAGGGGTTAGAGCAAAAAGGGTGTCGGGTCTGCAAGAGCCAGGCTGGAGAGGTTTTGAGACATATCCTTAACGGATCGCTTAGCATCATCTCCTGGCTCTGCCGAGCTGCTCATCCAATCTTTGCTCTTTCAGTTTCACAGCAGGTACTCCCATGTTTTTACCCCCTTCCCCTCAGTTTTCCTGCTCTCCTGTGAAAACAAGGGCCAGTTGGTTTTGTAAAATAATTCTCCTTCTGCCTCCTTGGGAAAGGAAAGCACCAGTCTGAAAAAAAAAAACAGTTAGCTCGAGGGAGAGCTGCTGCCCTACAGCAAGGGAAGGCTGGAGAGTCTTTGGTTTTGGACAAGGGGGAGGATGTGGGGGGGCTTTGGGGGTGCTGTTCTTGCTGGGAGTGTGTCTCCTGCCTCTTTTTCGAGAGCCTCTCTCCCTGCTGACTACTGACAGGCATCGCTGCGTTCCTTCTGAGCTCCCACTGACAAGTGGCATTACTCTGCATGTTCGTATCTTTGTTAAAACTGCAGTGCAACATAAAAAAAAGAAAAGTGGCACATTTGCAGGTGGAGCGTGTGATTTCTCCCGCAGAAGGGATCCAAGCTGCCTGCGCAGGCTGGGAGGTGAGCGGGGAGGGGGCAGCGCCTGTGAATGAGGGTGGTGGGGGGTGCCTGGCAAGCACTGGGGGGGTTGTGCTCTCTGTAGTCCCTGTAAATACCTCTTGGGCTCTCCAGCTAAGGCGAGGCAGCTGGAGCTGCGTGTCCTGCTCAGGATGAACTCCACACCCCGCTGAAACCCTCGGGGATGACCAAGGCTCTTTGCTCCAGGCTCCGCTCTCCACGTAGCAGCGCGTGACTGCGCTGAGGAAGCTACCCTTGCCCCAGGTCGGCTTTATGACAAGCTAACGAGGAAAATGTCACGAAAGCCTGAGATCCCATCAGTCCTTTAAAGGTCACCCCAGATCCCTGCTGCTCTGGCTCTTGCATCTGCCGCCCCGAAATGTTCCCACCTCCTAGCAGAGGGAGTGGGCACCAACGGCTGAAAAACCGGCTTGGGCGAAGTCCAGCTTGGCATTGCACCTGGCCTGCTTGGTTTTATTTATTTATTTATTTTTTAAGTAGTAAGATATTGTTTGCATTTAGTCTCTCAGTTTTATGGGCTCTTGGGGTCAAAAACCAGCACCCACCTCGTTGAGCAGTGAGCTTGTGTGTGAGCAAGGACACAGGCTGGGGCAACTGCTTCTGAACCAACCGCTCTGGATCCTCCTGCCCCTTCATCTTCACCCTGCACGTGGTTCCTGTCTGTGCTTTGGTGCTGAGAAACCAACAGGGTCTCCTGTTAGGGTAAAAAAAGCCAGACGGTGCTAGATACCTGCCAGCGTCTGAAACCGTGGGGCGGGTGAGCTGGGAGGCAGAGCTGCTGTTGTGGGGGGTGTCATGAGCTTCACCCCGTTCTCAGCTGTGTGTTGGAGCCCAGCTGCTGCTCCCGGGAGTGGCTGGAGATGGGGGACGTGGCTGGGCACCTGCAGTGGGATCCGCAGGCAGCCCCTCCTAAGGGCACAGGCAGCAAACGGGGACTGGGATAAACCCACGAGGTCCGCAGCACCACCCGGAGCTCCTCCTGGAGCTTCATTATTTCCCAGAAACACCAGAAACCCCCTAGTCCAACCCAGTCTGATTGCAGGCAGCTGCCGGGATCCAGCCGTGGGATCAGCGGTTCACCGTTGCACAGTGTCGTGCTGCCTGGTTTCGGTGCAGAGCTCCCGGAGCGTTACCCAACCCAACACCTCGGCAGCTGTCCCTGTCCTTGTCCCCTGCAGGGCCACGGCTTGGGTTGGGGTAAGCACGGCTGGGAACTCTGGATTTTCCAGTTGAGGCTGGCACTGGTCTT